CCATGCATGGTGGCGTGGCAGAGGGCTGACATGGCGACGACCGGAATCACTGACCGCTGACGTGGTAGGATCTGCCGCACCACCGATCTTGGCGCGGCAGTGACGCGCCACAGCTGATGGCGCAGCAAGGACGGGATTAATTCGCCGGCCGGACGCCGCGGCCGCAGAGCACTGCTGCCTGCCAACGTGCTGTGTGTGCTGCCACCACGTGATCGCGGAAACCCGGGCTTGCTCCGATGCGTCCTACGGAGAGGGTGTGCACATGCTTCTGACCGCACGACGCAGCTCTAGCGTGTAGCAGTGCTGTGAGTGTCCGGCAGCAGCAGCGCCCATGCTTTAGGCCCTGTTTGGTTACTATAGAATCTCCTAAAATTCCTGTCATATCAAATGTTTGGACACATATATAGAGTATTAAATATAGACTAATTATGAAACTAATTGCACAACTTACGACTAATTTGCGAGACGAATCTTTTAAGCCTAATTAGTTCATAATTTAACAATATCGTGCTACAAAAAACATATGCTAATGACAGATTAATTAAGCTTAAAAAATTCGTCACGGAAATTAGTCTCCATCTATGTAATTGGTTTTATAATTAATTTATATTTAATGCTCCTTATTAGTATCTAAACATTCGATGTGACATGAATTTTAGGAGCGACTAAAGAACCTAACACCCCCTTGATTCAAAAGCTTTGTCTGCCACTTTGTCTCGGTATCCGTGCGTATCCTCCACTGCTTTGCATTGGTGCCATATCTCCTAGGGGCAGCAGGAAAGCAGCGAAACACTGTGCACATGCTCATGCCTTGCACAACTGTGATTGTAGTACTTTTCTGTTTGGTCACAATATGATATTGGTACATTAATCCTAATGAGGCTCTGGAAGAAAATAGGTGGTGCCATCACGACCACTGTTGCTACCATCACCGGCTTGTCAGTTGGCACGTCGTACGTGCTCAGTTATGCTTCCCTTCGCTACTAGAGACGAGCTAGGTGGTGTTTGGATCCGGTGACTAAAATTTAGGAGGTATGTCAGGAGAATGTTGCATGGTGTGTTCGGATACTAATAAAAAACAAATTATATAATCCGTCACTACTCCAAGAGACGAATTTTTAAGCATAATTAATCCGTCATTAGCACAGGTTTATTGTAGCACCGCATTGTCAAATCATGGACTAATTAGGCTTAAAAGATTCGTCTCGCAAATTAGTCGCAAACTATGCAATTAGTTTCGTAATTAGCCTATATTTAATACTCCATGCATGTGTCCAAACATTCGATGGGACAACGACTAAAATTTAGGAGGGGCAACCAAACACCACCCTTCTCCACTGGTGCTTTGCTTGCTTGGGCTGTGCATGTCCAGTCCAGACCGTACTAGCTACAGAGAGCTATAACCATCAGCAGCCTGACACTTGCACAGCCGCTCACGAGAGCACACTCGGCGCACAACACACCAGCAGCGGCAGCCTTTGACTCAACAGTTATGCATACAATGTGTGAGTAGTGACATAACGCGCTGGACAGTGTCCCTGGCACCGTTGCTCTGCATTGTTGCAAAGAGAATGCATAAATTAATTTACACTGTACAGCTTGCTCACCTGCTCTTGACGTTTTGCGCTATACAGAAAGCATAAATTAATTTTTTATTAAGATTTATAATACCAACTACCAAATAACTATATTAGATCTATTATTTTTTGAGCTAGACATTCTAAAAGTAATCTGGAATTAATCAATGTCCTCTTGCTACCTCTTGAGAAACAAACGTGGGGCCCCAGGTTTCCGTGATCACGTGGTGGCAGCACACGCTGCACGTTGGCAGGCAGCAGTGCTCTGCCGCCGCGGCGTCCGCCCGGCGAATTAATCCCGTCCTTGCCGCGCCATCAGATGTGGTGCGTCACTGCCGTGCCAAGATCGGTGGGACGGCAAACCCTGCCACGTCAGCGGTTAGCAATTCCGGTCGCCGCCACGTCAGCCCTCTGCCGCGCTACCATGCATGGCGCGGCACAGACATTTGGCCGCACCAGGGCAATAGACGCGGCCAAAAGTGTTAGTTTTAAAATAAAAAAACCGACAGTATTAGATTTAAAATTAAATTCAAAAAAGGGTTAAAATTAAAAAAAATTTGCAGTATATTAAGTACTGTATGATCCGATTTGGACCGTGCACTGTGACCGTTGGGCGTATCACGAGAAACTTGCGTAGCTAGCACACCCGTTGCTCTCGCGTGCGTCAGCTGTGTGTCTACGGTGACTCGGAACCTTGTTCCGTTTGTCCGGTGATTCCCTTCTGATCTGATCGATGCACCAGCTGCATCTCATGTCCACGTCATGATTTGGATCTCACCACATCACGATGATTCGGATGTCCACGTCATGATTTTGGATCTCTAGCGATAGCGTGTACAGCGGGTGACATCAACCATCTAGTAGAGTGTAGAGGTGTGCCATGTTTTGATCCCTGGGCTAACAAGTACTGCTATCTCAACATAAAGTCGTTTATACCCCCTGCATCTTGGCCAATCGGGCTAGACAAGCGGCGGCACGGAAGGATGCTGGAACCGGGAGGGAGGGGAACCATGCAGTCCTGCCGATCTGTGAACTGGAGAGAAAAAAATGGGCGAAACAATGGAAAAAGCACCGGCAGAGCAGATGGATCAAAACTCAGATGCTAATACGTCCTGTACAAACTCAAATGCCACCTCGATGGACTGGATCTGTTGATTTCCTCCAGGCCGTCGCCACAGGAGGGCGACACCAAGAGTCAGGTGCGAGGGCGAGATGCGAGCGGGAGGAAGCCCCGCATTGGTTGCCTCCCCACCGCCGTGCGTTTCCAGCGCGCCAGGGAAGGAGGGAGGGCGACCCTACGCCGCATCTGTGGGGATAAGCGTTGTAGAGGCGCATGGCTAGGCCGGGGAGGAAGTAGGGAGGGCGGCAGCGGCTGGCGAGACCGTGAGATGCAGCGCGGGCGGATGCTGGCGGGAGAGAGGAAACACGTGGCATCACGTATAGGTGGGGGTAACAAATATCTTTTTTCTAATTTGGTGGAATCACTAGTCCTGATAGCTAGGTTCTATGGACTAGTGAACTAATAACTAGTTGGGGTTTAGACTAATTGTTAGCCTACCTGCTAGTCCATATGTTTGGATTCTCATGGACTAAACTTTAGCCAACCAATTGTTAGTCCATAGGATCAAACATACCTTTATTTTGTGTGGCATAAAGGAAGAGAAATGGTAGAGAGAAATATGTCATCTAGAGCGTGTTTGGTAGTTACCTAAGCATGCCACGCTAAAAGTCGTGGAGTCGCCTAACGTGCGGTGCAGGGTTTCATCGCCGAGCTTTTGAAAAAAAAACGAACTAGCATGTTGTGCTTGTGCTTTCGCTGCGGCATGCCGCAAACGTGGCAACGAACCGAACTACCACCGCAAGCTATGCACGGGAAGTACGACCAAATCGATCGTCTAGCTTCTACCACGGCTCATCTGTGTGCTGTAGCTGGCCGATGTCAAATTTTCTTTGGCCTGCCGAATATTGGCCATAAAGCAAATAGTCATCTAATATTTGAGGCATGTTAAAATTTGGCCTTGCTACTTTCATCGGGTTGTAAGCCAAACACGGCCCAAGTCGTATGGTTAGCCCCGCATTCCGTGTAGAATTGTTTATAGAGTCTTCGCGCCGTGACAAGTCTAGGTTTTGGCACTTGTCTTACGCATTAGGGCGTCCCTCGGACTAACGACGTCGTCAACTAATATCATGTTTTGTCCCACGTGTAATAGAGATGTTCCTAAAAAGCAATTCATTAGCAAGTAAAGAGTCGCCGGTCTCGCACTCTTTCAAAAAAGCTCACAATCTTTGCTCTTCCTCGCTCATCTATGTTTGTCCATGAGTGATACGGGCATTCTTTGATTATTATTCTTTCCTAGAGTCCGATCAATTAGCCTAGGATTTTGAGGTTGTGTATTCAAACTGCAAAGGTGTGTTAATTTTTTCATAATCTAAAGTATAATATTTGGCATAGAATGTGTTTTAGGGGTTCGGGGCTAAATTTTTGAATACTCTAGCTGTATTTTAACCTTTTCTAATAATACCCATACATATGAACATTATATGTAGATATTGTTTTGGCATAAGTAATGGGTATATTCAATTGAATACAGAGTACTTTGAATCTATATAGGCTTGTCCCTGCTTGTATCTATCATAATCCACGTGTATTGGTGTAGAATGGAGTGCAAATTTCATCTTATTCCGCATCAACATATATGAATTGAGTTTGATATAAATGTAGCCAAATAAGTTCTTATGTACTCCGTACTTCGCTAGTCCTGCTGGGACGTCCTTATACATACGACTCGCTTGTAGATAAATCTTTCAAGGTAAAACGAACATTTTTTTTCCGTTGGTTCCACTGTAGCCAAATAATGCTGCTCTTAATTGAAAAAAAAGCACATTAATAGTATAAGCTGTTGCGCTGTCACTGTGTCTTACGCTTTGTCTAGTACGGCATGCTGCAAGCGTGGATACGCGCCATCTCTCACTCTCGCAGCCAAAAACTCGCGTCGACCGACTCATCAACTCAAGTCGAGGCACCAGGTCTATTTCGAGAAGCACACCCGCTGCCGTTCCAGGAAACGACAACGGGCCAATCCGATCACCCGTTCTGCGCTTCCCCCCATTCCCGTGATCCCGTCCCATCGCGAGGGCAACTCATCAATGCCGCATCCTCGGATTCCCCTGCGGCCCCGTCCGCCTGTCTCCCCTGTGCCAGCCCACTGGGCTCCACGCGTCCCTATCGCCCCGACGACCCCGCGGCCCCACCCCACCCGGTTCACACCATTTCAAATCCCACCACCACCCACGCCGCCCCCAAACGGTCACCCGTTTTACGCTGCGCTGCGCTGCGCTGCGGCTGCGCACACCGAACCCCTCCCCTCGCCGTCGCGGCTCGGCTCGGCTCCGCCCCGATCGATCCGGCCGGCGGAGGGCGCCATGGCCTCCCCCAACCCCGAGGCGGCCGCGGGGCTGCAGGCCGTGGCTGTGGCGGGGGGAGGGGAGGGCGGCTCGTCCTCGTCGCTCGGCGCCGTTGCGGGGGCGGCGGCTGTGTCGTCGTCCGGGGAGCTGGTGCCCAGGAGGGCGTTGGCGGTGCGGAAGGAGCGCGTGTGCATGGCCAAGGAGCGCATCAGCCGCATGCCTCCCTGTGCCGCGGGGAAGCGGAGCTCCATATACCGCGGGGTCACCCGGTACGCGCCGCACGGTCCCTGCCTCCCCTCCGTGCTACTTGTTGCCGCCTGCCCGCGAGAGCTTAGGCCCTTTCGCTAATCTTCCTTTGCTAAGAGCTTGACATGTTGTTTCGGCCACTCGGGATCTACTATGTGCGTGCAATTCCAATACCCTGTAGCTGTAGGTCGAATGGTCGCGGCACAGAGTTTTTTTCGTCCCATGCACCGCAGAGGTTTATTCCCCGTAAAGTACAGTTGGCTGGAATTGCAAATGAGGCGATCTCACGTCTTAAGGACCTTCGTTAAGTTAAGCTCTCTTGAGTCTTAATAGCGTTGACCTTCCCATCTTAGCAGGTATCCTAGTCATCAATAATTTTGGCAACTACTTGAATTCTAAAATTTTCTGGCAACTATTTACTGTTCATGGTCTCACAACATCGGATTTCAACTTGGTAGCGGTTCAATGCTGTTTTATTCAGCATTCACTGTTCATGGTCTCACACTCCGCTGCTGTTGTTGTTGCTGCATGAGTACTTAGTCGATGTAATACCTAGAGTTTTGGATTCTTCTGAAGCAATTTCGGTCCAGCAACTGAATCGAAATGATTTAGCTGTGTTTGTTTTTTTGCCGCTACCACTAATTTTAGCAGCCAATTTCCTCGACAAACATTTCTATCATGACTTTGTTATAACTATTTTTAACCTTTTCTCCATTATTACCTTATATGTTTGTATACATTGATATAGAACTGACTTTGGCTCGTCAATAGGCATAGGTGGACAGGTCGATATGAGGCTCACCTTTGGGACAAAAGCACGTGGAATCAGAATCAGAACAAAAAGGGGAAACAAGGTATGTCTGTCTCTCTAATACAGAGTAGCTGCAGTTGTATGTGTTCTTGAATTCCTTAATAGATTGCAACTGTCAGATGGGCAAACTTGTCCACTACAACCTGATTAGGTTGAAAAGATAGTTTGGCTTGGTTATGTAGACATCAAGTTTTCATAAATTAATGTGAACTAGTAACTTCTCTCTCATGTGATATATAATATAGTTTTTGGTTGCATGTACCCGTAGTCAGACTTTTAATACTTTGCCATTGATATGTACTTGAATACTCCCTTTGTTTCGCAATGTTTGTCTGGTCTGGGTACCTAGGTGGTATAGTGTTTGATTGAGATTAGGAATATGATAAATTTGTACTCACTGGACATATTAATAGTTCATCTATCCAATGAAACCAGGTACAATCTGATTTTGTGAAAAGATCGTCAGTTGTTGAGCCTCTACGATACGTGGACCAGACAAACTTTGTGAAACATATTTATAATATTGCGATTTTGCTTTTGTATAAATATACCCTGACAGAATTTAATGGTCAAAGCTACATGTCCAAATCGACATTTCTTTTGGTGACTGGAGGAATCTTCTTCAACCTAACACTTGACACTCAAACATGCTTTCCACCTTTCCCACCGTGCTGTGAATCGGTTGGGCTGTCACAGAATAATGATTGTTCTTGCATTATGCCATAATCACTGCAAGACATGGATGCAAGTAAAGAGCTATGCCTGCTGCAGTTTCCTCTGATCTATTTCATATCTCTGGGAGATGCATAACTGTATTTAGTCAATGATATTGTTTTCTTTGTAATTTTTATTTCTGCATAGCTATCATTGATCTGATCTGATTGAATTGTTTATTTTGCATGGAAAACTACATCGCACAATTGCTATTGCAGTATATTTAGGTAAGTGGCATCCTGGTTTTAACTTAATTTGCAGAGTTGCTATGATTTTCTTAATCATTCTCAATTTTGTGTGCAATAACATAGGTGCATATGATGACGAAGAGGCTGCAGCAAGGGCCTATGACCTTGCTGCATTAAAATACTGGGGAGCTGGAACACAAATAAATTTTCCAGTGAGTCATTTTTACTTGTGTGATGATGATTGACTCGTGTTTTTAATTGCTGTTAGTTCTCCCACTTTTTTTTTAGATTAGAGTTCAAGGGCCATCACCCCCGTCTTTGAAATTCATTAAAAGACAGTAATATTCAATACAGCGCAGTGTGCAAACCCCATAAACCAGAAGACCAAACCTAAATCAAGACTACTGAAGAACCTACTGAAAGGAACCCACAGAAACCTCAGCAGCGCTCGCCACTGAACACCAGCCTAAAGAAACAACCATCAGCTTTAACCACAGAAAACAGCACCCAAGCATTACAAGATAAGCAAACTGGATCTCACGCCAGTCTGCAAGAGCTCCAGCCTTGGAAATCATCAGAAGAAGAAACCAGCTCCGGCTTCATCTTCAGGAAACTCTGCATTCGGTCCACCACTTGCAGCTTCTCCAGAGAAACGTCCAGTCCCACCACTGCCTTCAGGGAGGAAGCCACAACACCATAGAAGCTTTCCTCTTGATCTCCAGCACTATTCTCTGGGCACAAAATTAGCCAATTTTGTGCCGTATATGCAATTTTGTTCAGCAGGATATCCATCCCTTTCCATCCCGTATTCTGAAAACATAAGTCATTTCTTAGCTTCCATAAGCTCCAAAGAGCAGCAGCAGTAATTATATTCACCAAACCATGTCTTTTATTACTAAGCCAAAACTGGCCAATGGATTCAAAGGAACCTCCCAGGTTCACCTCAAGAATCTCAGAGAGCACACACCAGAGCTGTGCAGCTACTGCACACTCAAAAAACAAGTGTAAAACAGATTCTTCCTTACAACAAAACAAGCAAGAAACATCTTCTAACTTTCTTCTCTTACTCAAGTTATCTCTAGTAAGCACTTTGTTTTTAGACAACAACCACAAGAAAATCAGCTTTCTATTGATAGAAATTGTTTAATTCAGGAAGCATCTTGTGGAAACTTTTTTTTTCGTAAAAATGACCCTTATTTGTTTCTAACATTGAGCAATGAGACGTCAAAATCTGCTTTCCGCTAAGAGAAATTGTTTAATTAAGGAAGCATCTTGTGGGTCTCCTTTTTTTGGTAAAAAGGTCCTTTGTTTCCGACATTGAGTAATAGGTGCATATATGCAAAGAAATCTTGACAAAAGCTATTCAGCAACATAGTTTTGTAATTTCAAATTGGAGGTTTTGAGACTGTAACCAGATGTAAGATGTGTCTACATCATGGTTGTTGCCTTCTTTTTGTCCTTTATTTTGAATTTGACAAAGTGTGGTCCTGATATATCATGCTTGCACGAGTACCTGCTGTACTCCTTTGTATTCACATGATGAAGTGATGGACAAGAAATTACACTTCCGAACCTGTACTTCTATCCATTAATTCTATTATTTTTTGTAGTGATATTTGGAAATGGATGTTTGCATGTCATAATTACGCAGTTCTACTTGAGTAGAATGTTTTCTTTTTTGGAAGTTTCAAGTTGGTCGACTGATAAGTGCAATAAAAACAACAATATCTTCTGTTGAGTGTGACAAAACAAATGTATCAACACATAGAATTGCTTGAACTGATAACTGTACATGAGTTGCCAATGTAGAGTATTATGCTATCTCTGTTCCATGCTTATTATCACAGTAGTCAATTGAAGCTGTAGAGTCAATAGAAGGGCGGGCCTGGTGCAAGCGGTAGGGTCTTACTGCCTGTGACCGGAAGGTCCCGGGTTCGAGTCGCGGTCTCCTCGCATTGTACAGGCGAGGATAAGGCTTGCCACTGACACCCTTCCCCAGACCCCGCACAGAGCGGGAGCTCTCTGCACTGGGTACGCCCTTTTAGTCAATTGAAGTTGTGTTGTATTTTTTTTTATTTTCAGACTTATGTTCATATATGTTTGCTTATTTAGGTCTCTGACTATGCAAGAGACCTTGAAGAGATGCAGATGATCTCCAAGGAGGATTATCTCGTGTCTCTTAGGAGGTATATTTGTGCATTTCTAATATATATACAGATTATTCTATTTTATTAAGCACTGACCAGAAGATCCATCCACTGCAGAAAGAGCAGTGCCTTTTACAGGGGGTTACCAAAATATCGTGGGCTTCTTAGGTATGTGTTAGCTATGAAGATTTCTATCCCTGCTAATGGAAATTACTTTTTTATGCGAACCCTTAATTCATTCTTTAATGAAGAAGATTTCTATCCTTCATTAGGAATATTTGATTTCACCCATACAAACTTATCTCTGTTTGATCCTAGCTACCAATTCCAATCGCTAGTTTGATCCTAGCTACCTTGTGCATAAATTTCTTCATACTCTGTCACAACATTAAGTCGTGTGCATTAAGTCAGAATCTTGGCACTTCGTAAAGCCTCACATTGGTGTGCCTTATCATGCAGGCAACTTCATAATTCCAGATGGGATACCTCTTTGGGACTTGGCAATGACTACATGAGCCTTAGTTGTGGTCAGTCTGTACAGACTTCTGCTGTTCTTTGTAGTTGTCAAACTCTAAGGTGATAGAAGTTGCTATCAGATTGTGTGGCTAATGATTTTATTACTTCTGAAATTACAGGCAAGGATATCATGTTGGATGGGAAATTTGCAGGAAGCTTTGGGTTAGAGAGGAAAATTGATCTTACAAATTACATCAGGTGGTGGCTACCAAAGAAGACAAGGCAGTCAGATACATCTAAAACAGAAGAAATTGCTGATGAAATTCGAGCTATTGAAAGTTCAATGCAACAGACTGAACCCTATAAGTTGCCTTCTCTTGGCCTCGGTTCGCCATCAAAGCCCTCTTCAGTGGGTTTATCAGCATGCAGCATATTATCTCAGTCTGATGCCTTTAAAAGCTTCTTGGAGAAGTCTACAAAATTATCTGAAGAATGTACTCTTAGCAAAGAAATTGTAGAAGGAAAGACTGTTGCCTCAGTACCTGCTACTGGATATGATACAGGGGCAATTAATTTTAACATGAATGAGTTGCTAGTGCAAAGATCTACTTACTCAATGGCCCCTGTTATGCCTACACCAATGAAGACTACCTGGAGCCCTGCTGATCCTTCCGTGGATCCACTTTTTTGGAGCAACTTTGTTTTGCCATCAAGTCAACCTGTTACAATGGCGACAATAACAACAACAACGGTTTGTTTCGCTCCCTGATAATCTAGATAAACTCTCTTTTCTGATTTTGCTGAATCTGACCAATGATTCACAACAGTTTGCAAAGAATGAGGTAAGTTCAAGTGATCCATTCCAGAGCCAAGAGTGACTGCATGAGCTTATTGAAGCAGGACACTTTAGATTGGTAAGTAAATACTCCAAATCTGATATTATTGCTAAATGTTTCGATTAATTTTTCATTAAGTTTTAGCTCAAACTTTTTACTTTTTGTGCAACAGTAACAACCAAATTTTGGTAAAGAGACTGGAAAGGAAACGTCGAATTCTTGAACTGATTGATTTGTATGTTCATAAAAACATATAACTAATTTGACAAAGTAGTCTTTGCCCTAACTCCTAGTGGTATATTAGATTAGAAAAATTATATGGCGCCCAAGGGGGCTGACGCCCTCTTTAGCTAAAATATCATGTTGCAATGTTTCAAAAAAAAAAAATCATCACAAAAATCATGTATGTAGTACACCCAAAGTTAAGTGTGGTGCAATAATTCAATTTGAAATTCATCTTTGATGTTGAGATTAATAAAACAGAAGTGTCACTGTCAGCACATAATGAACAGTGCCAGGTTGACTGCTTATCTATTTTGTTTCTTGACATCTAGGATGAATTTCAAACTGAATTGTTGCGGCTATACTTAACTTTATGTTTACTGCATACATGATTTTTGTGATGATTTTTGAAACATTGCAACATGGTACTTTAGCTAACGAGGGCGCCAAATCTGCACTCATTAGAATATTTATCTTCCTTGCAAAAACTAGTGCCATTTTTTTAAATTGTAGATGGTGAAAGATGATTAACATTACACTAATTAGTTATTCACTACTGCACTACAGAATGCTTTCATATGTCTCTCTGCATCTTAACTAGCATCATTTCATGGAATAATGTTAATGTCATTCACATACGGATAAATGCCAATGCATAAGCCATGGAATTATTTTTTCTTGAACATGCAGGAGAGTTGCGTATCATTATATTAAAAAGAAAAATCAGGTAGAGAAACCATTACAACCAACACGGCAACACCCCACCACACCCACATTCCTAGAAAAAGGCATGCATGATAGAAATGGACACTCCATGGCCTTGCCCTGGCAACTTGATTTCAGTAGGGACCTCGTCAGGAAATTCCCATGCTTGCAGTAGGTGTAGGTCACTACCAAAATTTATAGCCACAAAGTGCACCCCATTTCAAGATTAGTAAGAACTTTGTAGATATCCATTGACTTGTGCATGAGAATGGCTATTATGTCCTTGATTGTTGATTTTATTTGTATTAGATTGCTAGTTTGCTATTTAAAGTTTAATAAAGCTTTGGACATTTCAATTGATGAACAGGTCAAAGGCAACACTCTGCGTCAACTAGATTCTTTTTGTCCAGCTTTTGATGTCGCAACTTGTGAGCAATACTCCCTGTTTATCCATACTTCATAGGACATGAATAGAAGGTTAAGTGCAAGCATAGTTATGTAATATACAGTGGCTAGTTGCCAGAAAATGAGATTTAGTTGTAGAGCTGTTTTGTACATATTGAGATGGTTGTTTCAGTTAAGGCTCAACAGATTTGAGGAAAATATCCAACGAAATGATACAGCTCTAATGCTAAATTAGTTATTTTGTACAGATGATTCCAATGCTTGCTATAAAACCTCCTTTGCTATAAACCCATACCTCATAATTTTATGATGGGCCATAACAGTTTTTATTAGCTTAATTACTAGTGTAAACTTAGAAGATGAAGAACAAGAGTAGCCAATGTTATCTGCTGAAATAAAATAGCAGTTGTCAGTGGTTTCATTTACACCTCGTGCAAATAATTTCATGTTTTGAGATTTGTCTTTTTGCTTATAGTGGTTTTACCCATCCCATGTCCAAGTATTGAGGGAAAAAACTCTTCCACGTGCCTAACCTTGGTATTAGACTGAGGTTGGATTTGGAACAAACCTCCATACTCTTTGAGAGTTGAAACAACTCTTGTCTACAGGCTGTTTAGCAGCATTGCTGTCACACGTAAAATGCATTCCACCTGCAATTCATTGTGATACATATAGGTATATTAGGTAATACTTTCACCGGTAAACTTGCTCTTTGGATTGGATAGGGGGAAAACAGCTGTGCTGATAACATTTGCATACATTGCAACTGATCTGGGTGTTGCAATCTGAATTTGCAAAACTTCGGTGCTTTGAATTGATTGCATGAAGTCCAAGAAGAAAAAGTTATTTGGCCATGGAGATCACAGTGAGCAAGTTAGAATGACACCATTGCAACAATCACTGAAATTTCAGAGCAAAGCATGAATTTGAAGACGAATGCTAAGAAAATCGGAGAGCAAGAGAGATGGGATCGGACGGAATAAATAACCTGGAGGCTATCAGCACCTTATATTCAGATAAGAATTAAAGCATATCATCATAATCTGGAGTCTTACCATACTTACGCCACGTTTGAAGCAGATTTGAATATATTGATTCTAGCGATGAAATTGACGTGCATCCAAAAGAAGACAATATAGGCAAGAATCAAGCATTATTTGAGATAATTAATCCGTATGTAGTTTGTCCTAAAATTGCCCTAGCCAGCTACGCCCTAGCTATATATCAATCTTAATTTCTTATCAAAATCACCATCCCTAGAGCCCCGTCGGGGTGGTGGCCGGTCTCCACGCGGCAACAGCTCCACCGAACGGAACGCCCAGAGCTCAACCTCCAGCTTCCGGCCCATCTCCTTCGCCACCGCCATGGCTTCCTCGAGCTGGTTGTCTGCCAAGAAACGCCTCCACTCGCTGCCGAAGAGACGATAGGCGCTCTGTGACCGGACCATCCAGAGCCTCATGTCGAACCGCCGCCCGTGGCGGTCGTAGGCCGGCACCTGCATCCCCTGCAGGTCCCTTCGCCGGTAGGAGTCGCCGCACACGCTGTCCTTCTCGTCCGCCGTGAGGAACGCCGTGAGCGCGTTGGCGTCGGTGATGACACCGTGCTTCCGGCCGGGCCTGCAGGGAATGAGCAAGCGCGTTTGGTTCGGATCGACGTCTGCTCTATTGAGCGTCTTCTGGAAAACGAGCCGTGGGGTCGTGGCGCTGAGCGCGGCCAGGACGTCCCGCAGGACACATCCACGCTCGTAGCCTCGTACTTATATATTGCCTGAATTGAGAGATGAACAGTAGTATCGAACTAGGATTCTAGCATGCAAATAATATATTCAATCGTGGTGGAAAAGAAAAAACATGCTCAATACGAATACGAGACGTGAAATAAACAGAGAATCTGTGGTGTGGATTTTTCTTTTCCAAAGACTGAGTCGGAGGATGAAGCCTCAGTCTTTCACCGAGACGGAGGCTGGCCACCACTGCGACAGCTATTGCCTCCATCGATGGCTACATACATAATCCGCGCCGAGCTAGGACGGAGTTCGAGTTCGACTCATAGTACATTCGATCTTGATCCGGCGATTTGTGCCATGTTCGTTTGTTTTATAAGCAGTACTGTTTTAGTGAAGGAACAGTGCTTTCTCTCACAGCAAATCAGCATACAGTACTTTTAGTCATGGCTTTTCAGCGAAGTGAACAGAGCCTTGCATTCAGGTTACTGCAATTGCAAGCGCCCGGAAGAACCAGAAGAAAAACGAACTCCCCGTGTCTTCCGTTCCGACGAAGATGGGCAAAACCGCCTCTCAAGATGACCGCCGCCTAAGCCCAACAGCGCGGCGCCAAGCGGCCGCGATCGTCCCGTACGACGCGGCCCAGCCCGCGGACGACGGGCCCATTGAGGTCCGGCTCCCGCAGGTGGTAGCTCCTGCCCAAGAGGAGCCGCCGTGCCAACCTGCCGGTGCACTTCATCGACCGGAAGCGCGCGGTGGGCACTGACCTCAGCAAGCAGCAGAACCGATTTCCGCATCCCGTCCGATGGAGCTGTGCGCTGCCTCCGCCTAATCCTGACCGCCGAGGAGGTCGACTCCGCTAACATCGTTCGTGATCCACCCCAAAGGCCGACAAGGAAACCCAAACCCCAGCCAGAAAGCTCCCATGTCGTCGACAATGAGGCTGAGCTGCCTCAGCCGCATCAGGAGCAGGGGAACAAGAAGAGGAAGCAGTGGAGAGGGTGCCTCAACTTCGTCCGGCAGTGCAGCTTCAAGGTAAATGTTCGTTTTGCTCGGAAGTCAGACTGAAAAGTACTGTTTACTAGTTTGTTTACTAGTTTGTTGTGAGAGAAAAATATTATACTATAGCTGATAAGTTGAAGCGAACACAGCCGACGTCGTTGGCATCTGGGCCTTCAAGCAGCGCGCTTTCCCTATGCATGTTCTCATCGTTAAGAGAGATGACACGCCCCGATCAAAAAAAAAAAAACTTCGTCCGCTAGTGCACCTTCAAGGAAAATGACGTCGTCGGGCCTTCAGCGCGCGCTTTTTCCCTATGCATGTTTTCATCGTTAAAGAGAGATGACACGCCCCGATCAAAAAAACAGAGAGAAGAGATGACACGCAGCAGCAGTGCTTCTACTGCTGCCCCACAGCGCAATCGTAATTAGATAGTTTAATTCTTTTTTCTATTTTTATACATAAAAAACAGTTAGTTATTTGAATGTACGCTATAGGCATTGTGTAGCTTCGACCATTTACTACTTTTTTAACTCTACTATGTTCATCGACAATTGTTTGAAATCCACATTACCAAGATGAGAACTGAGTCTTCGCAAATTGGATGGCCCCTCAACTATCATTAAGGGCTCTTTGGATTGCAGGATAGAAAATATATAGGAATAGGAAAAACTCAGAAATTGAGATGGCATACTTCTCTAATCCTATGGGAATTGAAAAACAAAGGAGACTAGATGAGATGGCCTGGTAGAAGATCAGGTGAAACAAAGGAACTTGCGGATGCTCCCATTTTCTAAACAAGGCCCAGGTCCTATATCAGACAAAAAAATAGCTCACTTAATGCTCTCGAGAAGAAACGCCACGCCAAGCAAAAAAAAAACGCATGAAGAAACCTGACTGATGCGCTCGCGTGATTAGTTTTGGCGTCAGAAAGTTTCCAAGAGCTCTAAGCTCTTGCTTTCTTTCCTATGGACAGCTATATGATTCCAATCCTATGGAATACTTCCTTCACTTTTCCTGTGAACCAAAGGCAAGTATAGGATTTTTTTTAGAAAGTTCAATCCTGTAAAATTCTTTTGTTCATCCTGCAATCCAAAGGGCCCCTAATTTGACTAATTTCGTTTCGCCGTTCACTCTAGCTGCTAGTTCCAAAAAGACAGTTAAACCATACAGTAGAATCAGATCGTTTTTCTAAGATTATCTAATGATTTCGTTATGATCATTGTTTCACAACACAAGAATGCATTTAGAATTGTATTAGTTTTTGGACGTACGGTGCTAGTACTAGCCACACGTCACCATGGGTAATTGCGCTGCTGCGCTAGGAGCGAGACCCGGCCGAGGGAGACTTCGGCAGGGTGTGGTGGTTGTGAGTTGTGACGGCAGTAACACGGATTAGGTCATTAGGATGAGGGAACAGAGCATGCGAGAGAGAGGGTGTTCATGTTTTCGTTTATACTCCAGTATACAATGCAATCAGGGGCGGATCCAAAGGGGGGCTGCCGGGGCTACAGCCCCTAGTGAGCCTGATTTGTTCATTAGACCATGGTTACTTAATCTCAAATTATCATTAATCTCTAGCTCTAACCCTAAATCTTTATTATTTAACCCACCCTTTATTCCCATCCTGCATCCACCACTGAATGTAATTGGCTAGTGTGTCGAAAACGATGGCAAGAGACGGATGGCGCTTATGCTTGGTGTAGCAACATGTCACTTTCACGTTGGTGAGGCGTCGTAAATGGCTTGGGAGGGCAGGGAATCATGGTCTCCATGAAAAAATTATAGAGCAAATTACAAATTTTCAAATCTTTTTATATTATTAAGAATTAAAGCATATCATAATCTGTAGTCTAGCTATCTTTGCGTTTGAAACAGATTTCAATATATTGATTCTAGCTGTGAAATTGACATCCAAATCCAAAACAAGATAATATAGGCAAGAATAGTACATTATTTGAGATAATTAATCAGTATCTATAGTTTGTTCTAAAATTGCCCTAGCTGACTATGCTCTTGACGTGATATATACTCCCTCCGTTCTAAAATAAGTGCACGTCTCTATAAAAAAATATTAATGTTTATGATTCCAAATAAACATCCTTAGGCTAATCATATCATATATATTTTCATAGTACATAAACTTATCTAATAAAGATACAAATGTTAATATTATTTTTTAAAAATCTAATCAAACTTAAGTTTTTATCAGAATCGCCATCCCTAGATCCCCGTTCGGGTGGCAGACGGTCTCCACGGGGAGCTCGATTGGCAGCAGCTCCACCGAACGGAACGCTCAGAGCTCAACCTCTAGCTTCCTACCCATCTCGTTCATTACCGCCATGGCCTCCTTGAGCTGGTTGTCTGCCACGAAACGCCTCCACTCGTGACCGAAGAGACGGTAGGACCTGTTCGACTGGACCATCTTGAGACTCAGGTCAAACCGCCACCCGTGGCGGTCGTAAGCCGGCACCTGCATTCCCTGCAGGCAGCACACACAGTCCTTCTCGTCCGTCGTGAGGAACGCCGTGAGTGCATTGACATCGGCAATGCCACCGTTCTCCTGGCCGCCGGGCCTGTAGGGAATGTGCAGGCGCACCTAGTGCGGATCGACATCAGATCTAGCAAGCGTCTTCTGGAAGACGAGCCGTGGGGTCGTGGCACCGAGCGTGGCCAGGACGTCCCGCAACGCGTCTAGGGCTAGATCGGAGTCTAGTCCTCCGCCTGCATCCATGTTTCTGGGTTCACGTACTATTGCAAGTCCACGCTCGTAGTCATAGCCTTGTGTATATATATTACCTGAATTAAGAGATGTATTGATCTAGGAGTCTAGCATGCCAATAATATACGCAACGGTAATGTTGCGGGCTTTCGGGCGCCGCACGCTCCTCGGTGGGCCGCGATGTCGGCCCAACTATTTCCTCCCATCTGATCGGGAGTTTATTAAAAAAAATCGTCTTGTCCAGTCCTATTCTCTGGTCCACTCATTCCTATCTGCTCCAGGGGCAATGCCCACCACCGCCGTAAGCTAAGAGGCACAAACACGCTAAGGGAAGTCAGCAAATCTAGACAAGCGCTGCCCTGTCGTGACCGGCATCTCGGAGCTAGTGCTCCCAAAGCAGCTGCTCCACCTCCTCCTGCTGCTGGGGTACATCCACTGCTTCCTCCTATGGGCATTCAACGTCGTGGGCCTCAACAACCTGTTGGATCTCGAGGACGACCACCAGGCGCTGCTGTAGGATGATGCGGCGCGCAGTTGCCCTCTCCTAGTCGTGCGGCTGCTGCCTCCCCGCCGCGTCATGGAGCCACTTTTGCCGGCCCGCCTCCTAAAAGCGTCATCGGGCTGCCACCTACAAGCGTCGCCGGGCCATTGCCTCCGTCACGTCGACGAGCCTCCATACTAGCACCAAAGCAGTAAGGAGATCGATGTTGCGCTGAAATCGCATGTTGCAAGCGTCTGTTTCAAGTGTTTCAAATATTTTATAGGTATGTTACATGTGTTTCATAGGGATGTTGCACATGTTGCAATGGTGTTTCAAGTGTATGTTCCAAATGTTTCATCTATTTTTAGACGTATGATATAAGTGTTTTATCTGAATGTTACAAAAGTAGATCTGGATGTTGCATATACATACATGTTGCAAGTGTATGCTTTCACTACTAGAAATATCCACTTCTATGACAAAAATCTTAATGACGAATCCAAAACAATCATAGAAGAGTGCTTTTTATGACAAAAATTTCCGTTTCATCATAGATTAGTGGCGACGATCCTACAACCTTTCCTTTCTATGATAAAATCAGGCATTGTCACAAAAAACATCATAGAAGAGCGTAGGGTTTCGTCACAGATCACTCGCGCGTCTCATCCGTGACGATCTCCTTTAAAAATATGACGAACAGGGCTTCGTCATTGAACTAATTACACATATGTGACGAACAATATTTGATCTGTAACGAACGGCTTTGTCATAGATCTTCACACGGTACTTTATCCATCCGACGTGTACCTGTGGGACCTGCAGTTACTCATCCGTGACGCTTATAATTCGTCATAAAAGTCTCTGTTTGGTCCTTTCTCCTTCTGACGTGTACCTATGGAACATCCCTATTACTCATCTATGACACTTGTAATTCATCATAAAAGTCTCCGCTCGGTCCTTTCTCCATCTGATGTGTACCTGTGAGACCCTTCTGCATCCGACCTGTGGGATCAAACGTCCGACGTGTACCTATGGGACCTACAGTTACTCATCTGTGATGCTTGCAATT